GACTTCGCTAAGCCAGCTCTCTACTGCCACATGCCTGAAGAGAGGAGGGTTTTTTATGTGAAGAGAGGAGGGTTGAGGGTTTAGGGTTTTAGGGTTGAGGGGTTTAGGGTTTAGGGTTTTAGCGTTTAGGTTTGTAGGGCTTAGGGCTCAAAGCCTTGGACTTTGCGGCTTTAGAATTTAGGGCTGGTTCTGGATTACGAAGCAACTTACTATCACTGCCCGCTCTTGAGCAACCCTTCCCGGGAGGAGTAGCAGCAGTAGCAGTAGTAGCAGTAGCAGTAGCAGTAGCAGTAGTAGTAGTAGTAGTAGTAGTAGTAGTAGCAGTAGTAGTAGTAGTAGTAGTAGTAGTAACAAAGTAGTAGTAGCAGTAGTAGTAGTTGTTGTTGCTGTTGTTACACCAACAGAAATCTCGTGCATCGCAGAAGCTCGCAGGCGTTCGCACTGCTGCCGATCTCGTCTCGTGGCCTGAACCACTCTTTCTAAGCTTCTGGGCTGTTGTTAAGGTCTCTAACTTACGTTACCATAATCAAGAAACCACATTATTTACTGTAGATCCCTATTATGGTAACTCAAACAGACCTACTTAACAAGAACCACGCTTCGCAAACCCTGTGAACCCCAACAACCCAAGAGCCACAGACTCGGCGAGCCGCACACCCTAAACACCCAGGATAGAAGCCAAACCAGATTTGGACCAGGGTCTTCGCGTTCGATGCTAAGGGAACTCCAGGGATACTCTGACTTATCGGTTCAAAGTTCAGACTGTCGAGGCCGCAGCTCGTGGTAGAAGGGCCTGACTGATGCTTCATAGAGACTACAGGTTGCAGATCCCTCTCCTCCACCATTTCATGCCAATCTGTTTACGGTTTCGGGTTTAGGGTCTAGGGTGCCTAGGCCCTAAACCATGAACCCGAAACCCTAAACGCTAAACCGTAGACCTGGAAACCCAGAAACCAAAAACGCTAAACCGCAAACCCTGGAACCCCAAAAACTCTAACCGTATTGCTGTGTTTTTCTGGCTCTTCTCGGCCTCTTCGGCTTCCAGACGAGCCTTCTCCAGTGGCCGCTGCTCCTCAGGTCGAACTCCACCGTTTCCATCGGGAGACGTAGGGTTTAGGCTTTAGGGCTTTTGGGTTAGGGTTTGGGGTTCTAAGCTTTTTTTTTCTTTTTTGGGGGTTCAGGGTTTAGGGTTTAGGGTTTACGTTTTGGGCTTAAAGCTTTGGGCTTTGAAGGACCCGGAACCCTGAGGCCGAGGATGTGCCAAAGCCGGAACACGACAAAAACTAGGGTTTAGGGTTTAGGGTTTAGGGTTTAGGGTTTAGGGTTACAAAATTTGCGATGCTGATGGCCGTGAGCTTTGATCAAAAACAACCTTTGCCTTGGTTGTTGTCCATCAGTGGCAGGGATATCTGCTGCCTTCGATAACTTGGCCTGGGATTGACGAAGTCTTTGCTGGAAGAAGGGTTTAGGGTTTAGAGTTGTGTGTTGCCACCTGCCAAGCTCTGCACGAACTCTGTCAGAAATGTGTGTGTGTGTGTGTGCGCTCGCAGCCTCATCGTTGCCCCTCTCGCAGCTGGCTCAGCGGTTGGCACCTTTTGGAGGCCCGCCTCAAGGCCTTTTGTTGAAGTAATCCATGGAGTCGAAGGAATCCAGGGGATCCATGACCATGGAATCCGTGAAACGTGCAACTTGAAACATGAATCTTATTTACCCCTCGACCCCTAAACCTTAAACCAGCAAACTAAAACCCTAAACCCTAAACCCCTAAACCCCTAAACCCTAAACCCTAAACCCTAAACCCTAAACCCTAAACCGTAAACCCCTAAACCCTAAATTCGGTACCTTTCTCACAGGGGTGAAGTCAGGGGCCTGGGGCCTCCGCACCATGTCATTACCCGGAAAATCGGGACGATCTGAAAGGCAGTTCCTCCTAAGTTGGGACCCTTAATGTAGGTAGGGGCCTTAATAATTAGAAGAGGGTTTTGGGATATAGTATACTACAATTCTAGTCAGGAACCCCCAAGATGGTAAAGGTAATTATTACGGCCCCTATTTTATCCTACTAAAGGGTACTCTACCCGACTTTAGAATCGGCGAGCGGCTCGAATCGAGAATCGGTTTAGGGTTTAGGGGGCTTGAGTCCAGTCTAAAGTCTGGAATCAGCTAGGGCCTGTGAAGTGCACAAGCATTCATAATTTGCAGGGAGTTATGCGCACAGCCGTCTGCAGGCCACATCTACTCATACTCTACGGCTCGATAGGAAGTTCGCTGCCTGGGAAACCTAAACGCTAAACCCCAGCCCCGAAACCTTAAACCCTAGACCTGAATCTAAATGGCTTGGGTGGGCAGTGGCGGGTGTTTGAGTTTAGGGTTTAGGACCCGTCCTCGGCAACGCGTCGCAGCGCTGCTCGAAGTTCTTCGCAGTCGCCCTGTCGCAAACAAGGAGAGAGCACCGTGACAGACCCAAATTGGGAAAGCGGTACAGGAGGGGAGGGGCGGCCCAAGCTGCAACTTATAACTGGAATTGGATGCTGAATTGGACTTAGACCCTAAGCCTTCGAACCCCCCAAACCCCAAACCCTTATCAGATAATAACAGGCTCCGAATACACGTGGCTCACGGAAGGGACGGGTAACTAGTACAAGGGTTACGGTGAGGCTTGCGACAAGGGTTACCACATTACTGTCCTGTGCTAGAAAGGATTCAGGGTCTCGGGGGCTTTTGGCTTAGTCTTCGGGGTTTGGGCTCCCAAACCCTAAACCCTAAACCAAGCCCCAGAAGCACCCAAAGCTTCAGAAGCACCCCCAAGCTTGAAAAATTGGGCTTGGGGCTTTAGTTTAGGGTTTTTAGGGGCTTTAGGTTTTAAAAGGGTCAAGTCCTACAGCCCTACACCCGCAAGCCTCGAAGCCCGCAAGCCCCAATGTGGAACCCCAGATTTAGCACCATCAGAACAACCACAGCACATGATGACACATGTTGGACTAGCGGCATTGAGAAGACAGAAGCAAAGGCAAGAATAAGAACACCCAGAATGATAACACTCATAAGGCAAGACGCACCGCCATCACAAGAACCATCATCCCGATCAACTGACCGTGATGGCACCAGCGAGCACTAAGACCCAGCCGTGGAAACGCAGAGCCTCCATTTCAGAACACGAAGAAGCATAATACCCCGGGACGCAACACTGTAAACACGAACACTCAACACTCATGAGACAAAGCCAGAGCTATACGCCACCCTACAACAGGCGTAAGGCGTAAATCTACTGACCCTCCCAGCAAAACCTTGAAGACCCTAACCGTCCAACTCCAAACCCAACGACCGAAGCCCCACAAACCCTCAACCCCGAACACTAAGCCCTAAATCCCTAGAACCCCTGTAGCAGCCCTATGAAACTCCTTAAAACCCTAAACCCTGAACCCAAAAATAAAAATAAACAACCAGCAGGTGGTCCTCTGCAGAGTTTGAGCTGAGGGGTCGCAGGCTCCTTGCGGCCGGATGCCTGCTGCTGGCCTCGACATGGATGGGAGGCTACCGGGTCGAGAGTGGGTTTACGGGTTAGGGGTTTAGGGGTTTAGGGGTCTAGAGTTTAAGGGTTAGGGGTTTAGGGTTGTGTAGTGTAGGGTTTAGTATGGTGGGTTTTTGTGGCTTTACAGTTTAGGGCTTTAGGGTGTAGAAAGCTGGCTTCAGGTGTCGGCAGGGTGCCAATGGGATTCTGCAGGTCGGTAATCACGCGTTGGAAAGGTCTGTTGAGAACTCCGGGCATTTAGAGCGTCGAGGGAACAAGCTTGGGACGGCCTGGCATAGATGCAGCCGGTAGCCCAAGTATCCTTTCAACCAAAAACTCACAAGGGCCTTTCGCCTCTCGTCCTGGAGGCAGCGTTTGGCCTCCTCGCTGGGGATTAGGGTTTAGGGTTTAGGGTTTGCGGAGGTTTGGGCTTCCGGGGCTTGCAGTCCGGGCTCGTTCGAGGATGTCCGGGCCCGTTCGAGGATTTCGGGGTTCCTGCTCCAAGATATCGGACAGGGATTTCAGTACTACCATCTCATCTCCATTAATCACAGAGGGATGACCTCACCAATATCTAGTCGGAGACCTCTGTGCATTCTCCAAACTCCCGAATGATGACCCTACTTCTGCCAAGCAGGGGTACCCTACTCAAACAAGGGTCCTTAAAGTTGGCTCTATATCGGGAACCCTTGCATAACATCTCCCATGTACAGAAAATCTCATAAAAGCCCTGCATAGCTCCCTACCGTTACATCAAAAAGCCCTAAAATGCCCTGAAGCCGGAATCCGTATCCCAAAACCTTCAACCCCAAAACCTAAACCCTAAACTAAGCCCTAAGCCCAAACAATAGAACTTAGGCCTGAACCCTCAAGCTAGTCACAGCCGTTTCTGACACTGGAGGGCAGTGTTTCGATGGGGTTTCGGGGTACATTCGGTAAAACAAAGGAACCGGGGGTTCGATATTTGAGCCTCAACCGGCGACATCTAGCGCAGCACGGGAATTGCTGAAAGGCGCCACTGTGACAAATTCACACACTTCCGTCGCGAAGGATGGGCAGGGACCCATCGCTGGAAGTTCATAAGAGAGATACGCCTAAACGCCTGCTGGTTCATCCATCATACTGAGGAAAGCAGGAATAGAGGGGTCTCAAAATTGGTGTGTATTATGGTACAAACATATATATATATATATGTATATATATATATATAATCATGTATGGCAAGCTTCATCAAACTAGCCCAGTCATCCCGGAACTTTTCTCTCGAGGTTCCAGGTACCAAGACCCTTCATCGCCTAAAAATAGATCCCAAACCGTGCCTAAACTTGACTCTTAGCCCCTAACCCCTCAGACCCTACTAAAACTCTAGACTCTAGAACACTAGATCCTTGTTGGTGGACCCTCAACCTAAACCCGGGGAACCCTTGCACCCCACAGAGCCCTTACAACAAACCGAAAATCAAGGCCTACTGTGGGTGGGGCTTTCCAACCGATCGCGAAAGACCGACCCGTACGCCAGCCCTGCTTTCCATAGCCGTTTGCACTGTAGCACCCACGTCGCACCGGTGCCGGAACACGTTCTCCCCCGGAACCAGTGCTGGTCCCTGAATAGAGTCACTACCCTGCCCTGCCCCTACCCGCCCAGCCTGCCCTGCCTGCCTTGCCCTGCCTTGCCCTGCACTCCCCTGCGCTGCCCTGCCCTGCCTCATTGCTGGAAAAGGAGAAAAGTGCGATAACATGAGTTTAAGCCTAAGCGCTATTCCACGGCAAACCCTAAACCCTAAACCCTCAACCCTAAACCCAAGCCTGAAAGGAACGTTCTCTCCAAACTAAACCTTACGTCGGCTCCTGGAGCTCGGCCTCCAGTTCCCCGCAGCGCGCCTGACAACGGCATGGACGGAGCGGTGGCCCAAAAGAGGCACTACCAGGGCTCCATAAGGGTTTAGGTTTAGGGTTTTGGGTTTAGGGTTTAGGGTTTAGGGTTTAGGGTACTACGAAGGCCGAGGGTCCTAGGTCCTAGGGTTGGGGTGCAAAGAGACGCAAAAGGGCACGCAAAGATCAGGGCATCAGGGTTTGGGGGGTGGGCCGTCAGGGTATCAGGGATCATGCCCAAACTTCCAAGCATTGAGCTCAGGGTTTAAGATCTTTCTTCTGCAGGCCCAGATGCACCAAGAAGACAACCATAGAAAGCCCGGGTATGTAACGAGTGTCTTCCGTATATTTCCGTGCTCATGCGTACTTGTTCATGTACGTGGTCAGAGAGGGAGAGGAGAGATACAGAGAGAGGGAGAGAGAGAGAGAGATACAGAGAGAGAGAGAGATTGAGAGAGAG